TTTTAGGGTTTAGAGTTTGGGGTTTAGGAATTAGGATTTAGGGTTCAGGGTTTGGGGTTTAAAATTTAGGATTCAGGGAAAGCTGTCCCAAATTTTGGGACATGGCCCGAGGAGAATCATGTGCTGATGCTCAGCCGTGATGTTTGCACATGCCCTGCAAAGTGTGACAGAAATCATCCGAAGACATTTCCCCAGTGCGACTTGCTAGGGCTCAGGGATGCGATCCCATGAACTAATCTACAACGAGAACATGTCAGGCTGACCTCCTTCCCGTGGCAGACAATGCTTGCTGGACCACCGCATAAAGGTGCGGAGCCTGCGGTCTGGGAACGTCTTCTGGTCTCCGATCCCGGATGTTTCGGTTAAAGCACATAGACACGCCCAAAATCTGATGCAGCCATGCCATGCTCCGTCTCCTGTGGCGGTCTGCTTGAAGAGTACCGCGCCGCCATCTCCTGCGGCGAAAGCTTGCCAAAGCTGCTTCGCTGACCAAGGATACGAAATATCGGGGCGACCCCGTGCAAGAGACCCCTTACTGAGGGAGTTGCCATGAAGACGGTGTTGGCTTTTGGGTTTGAGGTTCAGGGGTTCTGGATTGAGGGCGTAGAGTCGTAGAGCTGATTGGTCTGGGATTTAAGGGTTCAGGGGTTTTGGGTTTACGGGTTCTACTTCCAAGAAGGCTTCAGCATCTCCTGATTCCCTGTAGCGATGTCTGATGTACGGGCATTACAGTGCGAACGGTGTCACGGCTTTCTTCCGTCACAACAAAAAACAGACGAGCAGCAAAACGACCTGCCTCCAATGCACTGAACGTAAAGTTTTCTTGCATGGGCATAGGCGCACTTGTGCGGCACTAGCTGGCTGCTAGCTGGCTGTAGCGCACAAGCTGAACATCAACTTGCCGCTGTCATCTTCACCGCCATGACAACGAAGAGATCGTCATTGCAAACGTCGTATCGGAAGTGCTTAGATTCTTGGATACACAATAATAATCGGGACAGCATTTCTTCAAGATGACCAACGTAGAATAGCGACAAAATAGCAACCATAGGACCAAGAAGAATAGCAATACCGCTAAGAATAAGCATCTCAGCACCAGTACCACTAGCCATGGCAGCAGTAGTGATAATTACCACCATCATCACCACTACAATAACAGCAACTGTTAGAATAATCATAACAAAAGACCGACTGCAATAACACCAACAGACCAACAATCTTAACAGTAATGACAAGAAAGCGAAGAAGAATAGTATTGATAATAACAACGAAACTCAAAAACGAAAGTAACAACAAGCTCAATCTGGCTGATCCCAACCAGAGTTGCAAGGATACCAACACACCCTCAGACTGCCAAACAAGCAACAATGCTAGTGATGTGAAGATAAATCTCAACAAGGGTCAAAATCAGAATGATGTGAATACTAGCAATGCAATGCGAATACAGAATCCAGAGAGCAGTGGCGCCAACAGCTGAAACAAGTAGCAATTGCAATAACGCAAAAACGAAAAAATCATGACAAGCTTACTGTACTGGCTACCCCACCTAAGCCCTAAACCCTGAACCCAAAGCCCTAGACCCTAAACCCTAAACCAAAAATCAAAAAGAAGGATCTTAGCAAGGCCGGCCTCACCGAAAGCACCCACGTCAGAGTAGGGATTCACGGAAACCAGGACGTCGCCCAACCAGGTATAGATCTGCCTCCTTTCGTACCTGAAACTTCGGGCTTGGGGGGGGGGTTGGGATCTCGGGCTGAGGGTAGTTTAGGGTTTAGGGTTTAGGGCTTTTAGGGTTTAGGGTGTAGGTATCGGAATAAGGAAAAATTTTCGCGTGGCAGCAGCAGTAGCAGTGATAAGTGGCTGAAGTAGTGCTACTACTAGGACTAGAGAGCTCCGGGTTTATGTACCCTCCAACAATGATGCTACTCTTCGCCTTCTTACATCCTGCAACGTAGGGAGTCTTCCCTTTCTGATCAAAGTGATGTTGAGAAAAAACAAACAATGAAGTCCAACAAAAGTTTTCTTTCTGAAGACCCTATATCATATATATATATATATATATACATGTATACTTCCCGAGCTGCCCTTAGACTGTACCAAACTATACTAGGCTAGACTAGACTGGACTATAGTCGACTATCTATACTAGACCAGACCCTGAACCCTAAACCCTAAGCCCTAAACCCGCAACCCCTAAACCCTAAACCCTCACCCCAAGTCCTAAACCAAAAACTGTCGGAGATCGCCTGGCCCATAAGCCGCGAAGAAGCTCGGAGTCGCTGAAGTCCTCGCGAGGGCGATGTCTGATTACAGGGTTTAGGGTTTAGGGTTTGGGGTTGAGGGTTGAGGGTTTAGGGTTGAGGGGTACGGTTCTGATAAGGACATTTGTAATCATCATTACTAAACATGTGCAAAGCAACATGGAACCTTACCTTTGGTGTCGGACGCTGGGATGTGCGAATTGCTTAGCGAGCTGGAAGCTACAACAGCTGACAGAAAGACACCCAGACAAAGACACCGAGAGCAAAGAGAGACTGGGACACTAGCACAGAGAGCATAGAGAAGCTGACATGCGAGAAAAGAACAGCTAGTGATGCGGCCTGAAAAACGGGAGCAAAATGGAGCAAACAACTACTAACTGTCTGACAGTTCTTTCTGGTGTGGAGTCTCGGAATAAGAAAGCATTGGATGTATCTCTCCACCAAAGCTCCGGTTCGGCTCTCGACTGAGGTTTAAGGTCCTTAAGGTAAGGCAGGATTTATATTATCCACCGTAAGACAAGAGGCGACTTTTGGGGGGGGCGACTTCCTGGGGTGTGTCAAGTGCCCGTTGCTGCACAAACGTGCGTCAGGTCGACCGTAGACAGCCAGTGCCATCCTGATCAGAGCCTGGTTCAAATGCGACAACCACCGCACTCCTCGAGACATAACAGATCGGCGGGTACTTGTTCATCGCCTTCACCACGACCTTAAACATTAGCGAGCTCCAACGATCTTCACATGTTCGGATCAAGGGCAAGGAAATTGAGGCCTGACAACATGTGTATATTTGTAGGAAGATGCTTAGGCGTGTTCGTGCAGATGGCTCGTGCGAGCACGCGTCTCAACGCACGCAAGGCACACAGGAAGCACTCAAGCTCTGCTGCGGGAAATGAGCAAGCTTGGCGCCAAACTGCGATCCGGCGCTTCGCCATTGGAACCTGCAGTGCAGCCTACGAATCTCCTGAAACGGCCATGCATATCATCAGCATCCAACGCGTTTGCTCGGCACTGGACAACGCGTAGCTCGGAACTGCGAGCTGGGGTGCCCCAAGCGAGCAGCATCAATCCCTGCAGCGACAAATCCGTGGCACCATTCAGCACTGATGCTCCACAGACCTCTGGCCACTCCAGAGCTTGCCGACCTCAAGGAACGAATCAAACTGTCAAAACCTGTCCAGGATCTTGGCAGAACAAAACACCAAGTCCCTCGCATTGCAGAAATCGGTGCTGTGGGAAGACTGGGCCACATGCTACATGCCGGTATGGAACCAAACGCTGCAGACAACTCCTGAGATCTAGCATACGACGTCACATGTGCGATTCGACAAGCTTGAAAGCATAAGGGCACTCGAAAGCAGGTTGTTCTTCACCCGAGCCCAATACAACATTGCCGTGACGTCGACTTGCACGGACGAAGAGTGTTGCATTTCCCAAGAACGGAGGGCTGATGGAGAAGGACGCCTGGAGCCCGGGCCGACCCCAAAAAAAGCATTGCTGTGTCACACTGTTGCAAAGATCGGATTTGCATGGATCTTTTTCGGACCAAAACGAAAAAGTGCTGCCCCAGGCATGAAGTTCGGTTATGTACGATGACTGTGCAACAGCATCTGCACTATGGTTCAATCTTATTGGTTGAAAACTTTTTCATTCAGCTGTATCTCGTGTTCGCCGACATCCAGCAGGGTAGCTGCCATGACTGGTGAAGCTACACTGCAACTAGATTGTCAGTTGAGCTGTAAGGGCCACGTATAAGTAGGATTGGAAGTCCCGCAACATCAGGTAGCCACAGCTCCCGAATTCAAGCACTTGCGACGTTAACCCCTGAACTCTAACCTGTGACTACCACAACGTTTGAACTGTCTGGAGCTTTGGCTTGCGGGTCAGCCGTTGTGAGGGATGCTGGGTCCTGCGCCTTGGGGTTTATCTTTCATCTGCATTTCCGGACAGCTTGAGCAGTTGACCTTAAGGTCTTCAGCGCTCAGCCCTACGAAGATCCGATATTGCCGTTCCTTTCTTCGGCCCCACAGAGAGTAAAGCAAAACCGGCTGCAACCCTGCTAAGTCTGCCGGCGATGGTTGCGGCGCTGCCGATGACTCGAGGACTTATCTATGCTCAATGCTCAGCATGGTGCAACCATGCAGGTTTCCTAGCGCCAGATAAACCAACTTTCGCCAGGAGGCACAGTGAGGAGACATTTTTCGCGAGGCCTTTCAGGGCCCTCACGGCCATCCATGTGCTGAGGCTCCAAAGGCACATGTTGACGTAACCGTCGCCAGCAGCTCGGGTCTGAGAAATTCACCTGTGGAGTTCGGCGGTCGTCAACGACCTGGCAGAGTGAAGACTGAACTTTTTGTAGGGTTGGGTTTAGGGTTTAGGATTCGTGCGTTAGGGTTCAGGGTTTTGGATTTAACCGTTTCAGGGAAAGCCAGAACACGGACCTTTGATCACTGGCTGTTCTACTACGTAGCCGTTGCTTCAGACCCACTCTGCTTCGTCCAAAACCTTGACAAATGCTCAGTTGTGGCTGAGCTGAGCACTCATTCAGTTCTCGTGCTCAAACTCATCCCTGCCAGATCGTGGCAACATGCAATCGACCTACAGCTGCCTGCAGCTTCGTCAGCTTCGTCCTACGTTTCCAAATTTGGCAAGTTTCCTTCTTCGCCTCCGCACGCTGCACTGCCGTCAAAGTGCCACCGTCTGGCTAATAATCTATGCATGTCGAACAACTAATTCAAGACCCTAAGCACCAGCCATCTTGGCGCTTTGCGTCGGCGCTGGCTTCGCAGTCTGCTGAAAGTACTTCTGCAACTCGGCCAGACATCCTGCTTCCAAGATCTCCAGAGCAACCTCCGTCTCACGGATCTTCTCCTTGAGATCCGTGCGCTCTGCAAAGTCGTTCAAGGCCTGGAACGCTGTCTGAGCATCGTCTGTGGTAGCAGTGAAATCAGTGAAATCTGATTGCTCCAAGCTGTCCTTGAACTTCTTGTTCATATAGCGCAGGTCCCATGTGAGCTCCCTGCAGATCTCGTGAATGATGCCGAGGAGATACCGGCTTGCTTCGTCCTTCACGGCCTTGATCCGGTCATCGCAGGGTTGCAAACAAGATGGCTCATCGCTGCTGAGGGCTGTGCATCGGAGCCGTGTCATCTCCTGGCCAAACTTCTTCTTCCTCTCCATGGGCTGAAGGTTCTTGATGCGCTCGGTCAACGGTCCAAGATCAGGCTCGTGGCTGAGCCTGGCTTCGAGTAACAAGTGTCTAGCTTAAAATCCAGCACAAGAACTCCACCAGTGACCGCCCTTACAAAGATACGACTTTGCTGAACAGCCGAAACCAGGAAGCCTGAGCTGGCACAGCTTGGGCTCGAGGTTGAAGCTCAGCTGCTGGCGTGCCTCCTGAATGAATCTGCGCAAGCGCTGATGAAAGATCTTTGTGAGGAAGCCTCGCATGTCTGTGTCACGAATGTGGGTCCCGGCGGACAGGTCCCAGTAGTTCTTGAAGTGCAGTCCCAGAGCATTGACGTACCAATCCAAGGTCAACTCGAGCTCGCGAGTCACGCAGCGACGCACCAAGAAGAGAAAGGCACGATCACGGGCAGGGCGTCCATTTACCTCCCCACCCATGGCATTGCGCACGTCGTTATCCAAAATCTCGGTGGGGTCACGAAACTTTTGCACCAGGACATCCAGAATGAAACAGAACTTTCGCGTAAGCTGTTGGCCACCCAGAAGCCGATCTTCAGGCCTGTAGTGCTCGCTTTTCTCCACCTTGTCGTTTGTGATGCAGTTCAAGTAATCCTTGGGGTTGCGGGGGAAGTCTGCGAAGGCAGGCGTTCTGCAAGCGTACTCCACTTCTTCTTCCAAAGTTGTTTTCTTCTGCTCGTGCTCCTCCTGCGTCTCGAGGGAGGGACCATCAATGAAGGCCTTAACTCCCTTCAGTGCCGCGTCATGACAAGCCAAGGCAGACTGAAGACGAAACTCCTTCCGATCCTTTTGCTTCAGTGCTTGCAACTCCTCCTTGAGTCTGCAGACATCTTGTTGAATCTCGTCCTGCACCTCATGGAACTGGCGCCTCAGGTGGAGGGTGCCAGGCTGGTGGGCAAGCCAAAAACAACCCTGGAAGTCTTGCAATGGCTGCGGTCGCTTGTCATATCACTAGTAGATACAGTATTAGCTGCCACTGCACGACACACTTGGGCATCCATGACGGGGCAACAAGAACTAGCCACTAGTCGGGAACCATTGGGGCAGGCACTCCACGTCACACCGGTAGCCGTGGTACATCTCTTCCTTCAGATGCCGGAAGGTTCTCTTCTCCACCAAGTCCTCGCACATGTCCTTCATGGCCAAGGAGTCAGAGTAATGCTTCCATAACTTGGCTTCGGATTCATCCAGGGCAGCAATGTGGCGCGACATCGCCTCGAACTTTGAGAGGAAGTCGCCGCTGTCGTCTTCGACGCTCCTCTGCAGCGCATCTTCCAGCTCAGGATCCGGATCGTTGTAGACGAGGCAGGGACGTATGTCATGCTGGTGGTAATTGTCCAAGAGATCCTTCAGGGCGGCCCGCTGCTGGTAGTTCTTGTCATTGAGCAGCTTATCGGCCTTGCTCATACAGAACAACGCAGCCTCGACCCATTTTGCGCGGCTGTGAGCATCACAGTGAAAAGCCTCGTCCAAGAAGTTGATGACTTGGTTCTTCGTAAGCTCCGCTGCATCCAGAGTCACCAGCAACTGATACCGCTGGCCTCCGGAGTTCCACTTACCTACGCTCTTGCAACCCCAAATCGGAATTGAGCACCCTGAGACCTGTCTCCGGATACACGCAAGCCATCCTTGACTTTCAACCCGCTTGGAAACAGCATGCGGGCCCTAGCCAAAGTGTCACCCGCTAGACCCCCTGCCTGCGATGTGTTCTCGAATGATATCCTGGATTCTCTTGCGATGATCGGATGAACATGCATTGGAGGTGTCACTCTTCTCCTGCGTGTACTTGAGCCCAGGCAGGTCGATGAGTGTGATGCTGATGACCTCCGCTGATGTCACTTCAAGCACTAGGGGCTTGAACTCGAATTTGTTCTGCTTGGCCAGCTCATTGTTGACCCTCCAGACTTCCTTCAACACTTGGCTTCGGTCCATCTCATGGCCATCCAGAACACACTTGGGCTGTCGGTGCTCGGCGCTGTGGCGCAAGATGATCTTCAGCGGCCGGCGAGTGCCCGTCTCCTTCTTGGTGATGTTGACCGGGAACCCCACAAAACGCTGTACCACAGCGGACTTGCCGGAGCTCTGGTCGCCGACAACTATGACGACCTTGAAAGGTGGTTGCCGGTTCTTCTGAGTGTACCACTCGTTCACTTGTGGAACGAGATTGAGCAAGCTTTGGAAGCGTGCATCGTGGCATTGAGCTGCCATGGCACTCCTGCAGCAAAGTGTGTCCCCACGAAGAAGCCCTACGCTTGCTACCGGCTGAGCCGGGAGGTGATCCAGCTGCATTCTCTGTCTTCAGCTTGACGCCGCACACAAGATTCAGTCAGTGCATGCCAGGTATCAAGCGAGACTCATGATGCACGGCAGCCAACAACCTGCCTGCTGCAGCGACTGCGGTATGAGGACACTCACCTCAAAGAGGAGTGACACCAAAACACTTCAATCCCAGCAATCCACGCCGAGCCTTCAAATACCTGATGGCCTGTCCCACGCCAACTTGACCCTCCTCACCCTACTTAAATCGCAGCCCTATGCCTCAAGGCATCCGCTGCCATGAAGGACTAGAGGTCGAAGAGGTCAGGACCTGACATCTATACATGTCAGAAATCTGCAGATTCCAATCAGTCGAAGTTAGAGCTGTGCGCAGCTGCCAGCACAAAACTTTCAGTTTGGAAGTAAATGTCCACGGCAGGTTGAGCATCTTGTGTGCTGAATGGACCTCTAAGTTGCAAAACCATCGCTGTGATCTGCGAAGCTAATACCGACTCGGCAACTGGCACTCCAAAGAAGAGAAAGCTGGCATGTCGCAGCTCAAGATTCCACACACCGGCAGCAGGATCTCACATGAGCTGACAACTACCCTCACCGTTGCGCACGCCGAACTCCGTTTGGCATGTCCAGATGTGATATTCGTTCGTCATGCCAAAGTATCGCCTAAGGCCAGCTACAGTCACAGACTGCAGCATACGAAGATTTCTGACGTCCTGTTGCTTGAGCCTTGGAAGGTACTGCGCCAGGCCGCATGCAACCAGCTCCTCAGGTCCTCCGAGCTCGCGGCTGCTGTGTTTGGCAGGTGCCTGATCTCCTCCACCAACATACGGAGGTGGATTTTGTTTGTGACCTGAAAGTCTGTTCGGAGTTGCTTTTCCTTCAGCTTCGGAAGAACTTTCATGACGCTTAAGCTCGACATGGCGATGGTTTCCGATAACAGAGAGACACACCCCGGAATGGATCTGCATGGCTGCACCCTGCGAAAAGAATGTACTGCATCGGCAGCGGTAAAACCAATAAAAGCCAACCCATAGTAGCACGTAGCCTAGCCAAACATCTCACAAACTTCTGAAACATAAACCGAAGCAACCTTCAACCGATCGCATCCTTGGCCTGCGGCTCTAGTTGATGTACTTGAAGCCCCAGAGACCAACTAAGACCGGCCTTGGTTTAGGCTTCAAGGCTTTAGGGCTTAGGGCTTAACCGCTTGGGATTCTGGGTTTAGGGTGCAGAATGAAAGCAACTGCACTCAGCAGCAAAGGGCATGCCAAGGCTGAAGGTCTTCCGCACTGGGACTTCGGCGATCGCCGCATCTGCGCCGCCTCTGGGAAGCCCGATGTTCCTCAATTATAGAGAATGAGAAGGCCTAAATACTATGATGTAAAAGTATTTTCCTGAATTAAGGGGTATAGGGCTCCCGGGGCATCAGCACGCTCAGAGAATCTACAAGCAGTGCCGATGCATTCGTCTCCATCTGCAGCGAAAAGAGCTCGAAAATGTGTTTACATGGTATTTCTCATACAGATACGAGGAAAGCCTAGCCTGCGATGTCGGTCCCGACTACCAGTGCCTCATGTCGAAGTCGCAGGGTCCAACACACTGCAGCTACCCATGCCCACAAGAGATTGCCCACCTCGGGCTTTCCATACAACTCCGGCACACCCATTTGCGAGAATACCTTCAGAGCATACTCTAAGCTTAACAGCACCGACCCAAGAACATGCAAACCCTAAACCCGTAAACTACTAACCCCCACTAAACCTTACCAGACCCTACTAAACCCTTAAACCCGCAAGACCCTGGACCCCGAATCCCCTAAACCAGGAAAGCCTCGAAAGCGGCAAGCACTTGCAAACCGCCCAACCCTAGACCGCTACAGAACACCCGAAGGAACCGGTATGAAACCGAAGCAACACAAAGATCCTTGAAAGGAACCCTCTTCAGGATCCCGAAATGATGGTCAGACTGCGCCTCCTCCGGATCTGTGATGGAGGCAGGGGTTCCTGAGCAGGGCAGGCTGAAAAGTTTAGAGTTCTTTCGAATTTGTGATGTCCGTTTGTGTGTTGAGCTTTGGGCTTAAGCTCTTCAACCGCGTGGCTCCAGCAGCTCGACAGTGGTTTGCGGCTACACTACCAAGACTAAAGCTACATACTTGAGAGGGAAGAGGCGGCACGTTCAAGCAACATAGTGCTAACATGCTTGTGCTATGGATGCTCCGGTCCTTTTCCTGTAGTCAGACAACAACGCTTCTGAAGGTTCTCATGCCCTGCATCATATGGACTTAAACACGGCCAGGGGCAAAAATTGCATTTCGTGCTGAGGGCAAAGGGAGTCGCTTTTTTTGCACCCTGGATGGTGATTAAACACTGCAGGAGCAAGGCGATGAGAAAGCACAGCGCGATGCACGTGCAAACGGACGCATGTTGCTGTCAAGCTCCAAACCCCAGTCAACTTCGAAGGAGACTTTGCTTTGGTTCGAAGAACAGCGCTGCAAACACCCTGTTTTGACACAACATTATGGTTCGTAGCTCCTGCTGCTACGCCTTGATTAAGTCCGGCTGTCGAACTGCATGCTGGTTCTTAATTGAATCAAATTCTGATGTATTTGCCGGTTGGTCGGCCATTCAGCACTTTTCATGCGCCACAATTCTACATGGCGAATTGCTGCCGAAGCATGATGCGAAGGCTCGCCACAATTTGGCCTGAAACCCCATACTTTCTGAAGTCTATTGTTTTGTTACGTGGGCATGCTATGCAACAGCGGAAACGCAACCCTCTTGTATCATCACGGTCTGCCTGGTATGTTTATGCAAGATGTTAAATTGATACTTTGGCCTGCTATGCAAAACCCTTCCCGGCAGTGAGACACACATGCGATGTTAACTCATGCGGAACATGCAAAACACGTGTAAGAAAAAAATAAGTAGTGTTGTTTTGGTTTCTTCGGCCATCTGGGATTGCTATGCAATCAGAGAAGGGACACCCGACACCCTTCGTTTTTCGCCATTGTCCGCTGGGATGTCGTTGCCGCATATTGGGCGAGGATTCCGGCCTGCCTGCATGCTTGGGAAGGAAGCGCTACCCTTATGTCCCCCCCGCGTGAAATATAAGCGGTGCCTGCAGCGGAAAAACTGGCTGCAAGGCAAAAACATGTTTCAACCTTGTCAACATGTGTCTGATGCATTTTGCTTGCCAAGTTGATCCCACCCAGCAGAACGCGGGTGCAAGTGAAGGACTCCGATGCCTCCAACTGCGCAAAGGGCAGGACAGTGCTTTCACGGCACTATGTCAGAAGCATTGCAGTGCAGCTTGTTCCTGCTAAGACCGCCGGCCTTCTTTCAGGCAGGCGCCCCGCGGTCAGTCACACAACGTCTGTGCTATTGTGTTTCCCTGATCCACGTTCTAGTGAATTTTCTGCTAAAGACAACTGTGAGTTAAGCACTACCACGAAAGTCCAGGCGGTCTCTCCTTTTTTACTCCTGTGGATTGCTGAAGTCGGTGTGAGGTATTGCGATGCTTGCTGAAGAAAGGCTATAGCTTAGGCAATGCGATGCCGAGCCTCTGCCCCCCAAATTTGGGAGGGTCGGTGAAAATTCGTTGCGGAAGCGTTCCGAATCGACAACCTTGAGATATGCATGGCGGCGCGGTGCAATGCAATCTCAAGTTCTTTACAGAAAACACTGTCAACAAAAAGACAAACTCACGACTAGCGTTCTCTGCCAAAGACAACTGTGAGTTAAGCACTGCGGTCTCTCCTTTTCTTTTTACGCGCGTGGACTTTTGAAGTCAGTGCGAGGCATTGCGATGCCTACTGAAGAAAGGCTATAGATTAGGCAATGCGATGCCGAGTGGAAGCGTTTTGCAACACGACATGACTGCATCCAAGCACAGCATTAGGCCAGCTTCTGCACCGCCCTGGATGACCTCACAGAGCCCACGTCGCGTCGGACGAGGATCCTATCACGTTTCTCAGAGGATCCATGCTTCGCGGCGATCTTTGGTTGTGCTGGAATACGTGTAGGCAGAAATTTCAGGGCTGCCAAGGGCATCCGACAGGGACTGCCCTTGAGCGTTGCGGGCCAGCCAACGCAGTGCCGGATAGGACGGTCATCTGGGATCTCCGGACTTGCTTTGCTGAGGCGCGGGTGGCGGCAAGAAAATCAAGAATGACATGCAGAGCGGGTGCGGTCGGCAAGATGGGATAATGTCGTGCCTCTACGAATATCTGCGTAGCTCTGCAGGCACTCTGCGCAGCATCGGACCTCATGCCTAGGCCTAGACTGCCTTTTTACGACAGCCTCGACCAGCAAGCCAAGCTCGCATCTATGCCCATCGGCTCCTGGCTGCCTCGCCACGCACAGCTCCTGGAGGTCGGATCTTTTAAAATTGAAATTATTTCCTTCTGATTCCTGTAGCCCTAAACATATAAGGGCATTCAAAGGTTGAATATAAATGTGGGATGTATCTGCATTCTCACAAATATGTAAAGGGAATGCAAATTCTCGCTGACACTCGCTCACCTTCGTTTTGCAATGGGAGATTGCGACTGTCTGAGTCGTAAGAAGAAGCACCGATGGTCCATGAGCACGATGCTCGAACACATCGGGCCCTCCACACCCCGACTTGAAATAAAAGGGAATGGGCGGGCGGGACAAAAACTGAGGATTTGCTCAGCTACAGGGTTTCCCACCTCCCACCCTGGAGCCACAACGTTGCAAATGCAAACGGGATCCAGAATCGCTCAAGCGAAAACCGCAAACGATTGAGAGGAAAATGTCGGGCTCTTTGAAATGTAAAACATTTCAAAAACGGAATCAGGGAAATAAAACTATATCACCTTCGGTGAGTTTCGTCTTATTTCCTTCTGATTCCTGTAGCCCTAAACATATAAGGGCATTCAAAGGTTGAATATAAATGTGGGATGTATCTGCATT